CCCTGTTGAGCCTTCCGCTCCACTCCTCCCCTGCAGCTGCGCCCGGGGCCACGCCTCCGCCACAACTGGTTTAAAACATCCCATTTAATTAGCTGCAGTGGCTTGAAGGAGGAGTGAGACAGAGAGACACAAAACCAGTTTTCTAGCTTCAGTTCTGGATGTTTTTTCAGGCCACAACTGGAGCCAGACACAGCTTGTGTGTACTGGGAGTGGCACACTAATAGTGCTGTGCAAAAATCTTGACAGGCTATAAATTATATTTCCCTAGGAAAATGGTAAACATGTTGGGTGACTTATTTAAACATGCAATGATACATACAAATACTGTATATAAGTAAAAAAAAGAAGAAAGAAAATCCACCAAGACCACATGTACCTCCCTCCTGTCCTCCTCCTCTCTTATATATTGATTATGATTTGAACAACATATTTCAAATTTGGATTCATCACTCAGTAAGACCTGTTGCCACTGATTTTCAGGCACGTTCTTGAGTAATTTGGGACACACCCCAGCCTTTTCTCCCTGTTTCCCTTCCTTAAAATTAGCTGTGTAACAGCCAACTTTACACTGAGACCATTTCATGAGGCTTTATGAGACTTCAGTGAATGTTAGAAGGATTGATTGAAGGACCAGATGCATCTCTTAATTGCTTATTTCTTTACAACATTTTAAAGACATGACTTTCAAATACTGTTGTGGTGTGGATAGTATCAGGCCTGACATTTATTGTTTTGTCCACCCATTTTCCAGTTTTCTCAATTTTAGGGTCAAACTGCAAACAGCGCCGTTATATGATAAATTTGATAACTCTTTGAAAAATCACCTTATTGTTGCAGTAATTAAGAGTCCTAACAGCATACACAGTAAATAATATAAATAAAAGAAAGAAGAAAAACTGAAACATAAAGACACAAGAGAAGGAACACGTTTCTTGATAAGGACGTGTATAGGATGGGAATGGTAAACTTAAATATGCAAACAGTGAGATGTAATATATAAAATAAATACATGAACGGGATTTTTGTTTTGTTTTTTGTTGGGGAGTTTTGTAGGTTGCCTGTAAAGGTTTTGGTGTGGCTGTTGTGTGTAGACATAAGACCAGATAATCCCTTAACTACCTTTGCTATGCTTGAATGATTCATAGTGTTAAGTGGCCTAACAAACTACAAAATATTCTTCTTAAAATGAGTCTGAAAATTAGAGGAAAAATAAGCTAATCTTCAAAATTAAAAAAAGAAGAAAAAGAAAAAGACAGAGTCAGAAAGCCTGGATCACTATTGCTCAAGACCGCTTCCAAGAACGTCTGGCTTCTTGAAAGCAAATTATAAGAAATGAAGGCTGGCCCGAGGCTTTTTCAAACAACTGCACACACACCACAATTTTTGTTTTGCTGTCTTTGTGAGGCCCTTTAGTTAGTCTTTAGGACTAAGGTCTTGCTCTAAGTCTAAGAAAATGACATTTTACTTAAAAGTTGTGCCTTTTACAAAGCAGAAATAGAAATAAATGCTATCTATACTGACCATTTGCAGATTTGATTTGATTTGATTTGATTGAATCTTTATTTTGAACATGTTGAAAAAGTACAACAAAATAGAATTAAAAGAGACAAATGAACAAAGCAAAACAAAAGGAAAACGAGCAACCACAACTCCAAATAAAGTTCATGTTCAAAAAGGAGCAGGAAGAAGCATAATAACAGATAAAAACAACACCATAATATTAAGAAAACTACCATGTAAGTATTCTAATAAAAAAGTTTGAACTGGATTTGGAGTTGTTTTCTCTGCAGCACATTTGGTGCAGAGACGGTGGTTGTATCCGACAGGTTTGGTGTTTTGGAGCAGAACAAAAGCTGACCTGTAATTTTCAGGTTACACCCTGCCCCACACTAAAACATCCTCATTCTTCATCTCAAACTCTGCCCTATAAATACAGCTGTGAAAACAGACGTCAGACACAAATTACTCTGCTTACTGCGTCGGGTATGTAACTGGCATTGTTGATTGCTTGTGATGATTGATTGCAGTAAAAGTTTAACACTTAATTTTCTTCTACTTTTTTCCAGGTGAGAACTTTTCACTGCACTTGTAAACAAGACAAAATGAGTGACCGTAAGTCTCTGATTCAGATATCTGTTTATATCGAGATCACTGACATGTAGTAATTAGGCTGAAAAACTATGTGCTACTGCTGCATGTATGTTCACTGCACTTGTGCACAGCTCATTTGTTTTATTTGCACTTTTCTACTCTGCAATTAGACAGATGTGCAAATGCAGCTATATGTTGAATTCTTGTTCAAAATCATTTCAGTGTTTGATTTAAGAACAGTGTGCTCTTTATTTAACATAACGTCAGCTCTCTCTGAGAGGCAGCATTGTCTATACTGTCGTTCTGCAAAATTATTTAACACATTTGCTTTATATTAAGTCTTCTGCTTCTTATTTTATGTCTAGTATTTCTGTTATTATGTCTACTATTTTTTAAGTTACCAATTTTGATTTTTTTTGTTTTTCCAAATACAGCCAAAGCCCAGGTGAGTGAATTCTTTTGGCTTCCATTGTTTCACACCTGTGACAAACAGCATAACAAACTTGTTCTAACGAAGCAATCTTCCTCTCTAAAAAGCAAGCTCCGGGAAAAGGATCAGATTGTGAAAGAAAACTTTCACTTGTGTACTTTCCGCTTTTTTGCTTTACTGGTTGATGCTATTTTGACATTTTCTCTTCCTATGGTTGGGATGCCTTTTTTTAATTACTTTATTCCCTCTGAAATGGTAAATTCAAATTTTCTCTTACAAAGTAAGTCGATTCTTCTCATTTGAATCTTTTTGGTTTCTATATAAAATATTTCCCAAGTCACACAAAATAAATCTGTTAAGTTTAGTTTTGTTGCCAGGGCTAGGTTTCCATTTCACGCATTAAATGCTGCAGAGGAGTTTGAGTGTCACTGCTCAGACAAAACTGCTTTTGTCTGAGTATCTTTGCAAGTTGTTGTCACATTTCTCTCTGTAGCCCTGAACCCCCTTACTTAGATACAATTTAAATAGCAGTAAAAACTAGCAGAAATGGGCACTCCGTCTTCAACACATCTGTGCTGGCTATGCTGTGCATAAAATTTCAAAGGCACAAAATGCCAAAACAAATCACGGAAGCAGTTGTGACCTCACATTTGGCACATGCCATAATTTGTGAGGGTGAGATTTGTGGGGCGTGCCAATTCACAAGAGATCACCGATTCCCATAAAAAACAAGCTTGGTATCCAACCACGGCAAACAATTTTGAGGTTGCTGCAAAGTGAGTTTCAAGAAGCATTTTCATTTTTTTCTCATGGTTGTTAACAGGGAAAAGGCCAAGAACATGGACATGGACATGGAAAAGGCCAAGAACAAGGGAAAGGAAAAGGCCAAGAACATGGACATGGACATGGAAAAGGCCAAGAACAAGGGAAAGGAAAAGGCCAAGAACACGGACATGGAAAAGGCCAAGAACAAGGGAAAGGAAAAGCACCACCTCCCTAATAAATAATGAATCATTATTCTGTGGTCATTTTTAAGAGATAAAAATGTCTTTAATAAACTAAAATAAAAAACAATGTGTAATTTGTTCATTTAAACATGAGTTTCTAGCAGAGCCCACAGCAGAACATTTATTCAAAACATAAAAGCTTTTACAATAACCATTAACCATTTGCTGATGACTAAAACGACATGACTAAGAAATACAAAGTGCCTTAAGTGAAGGAGTTCTGCATAGCTTCCGCAGACATTAAAAAATGGGATAATCAATATAAATGGGCATCAATGCCAACATGCTTTAAGACAAACATAAATTGTTATGGCAGTATTAAATATAAAAAACAATCTTAAGACCAGTTTTGGAAGTTTCTCTATATGGGACGACTTCTTTTTACCTTTTGCTGCTTCACGGAGGCCTCCTTCTTCCAGCTTCCTTATGGCAATTCCTATTGGGCAACATGTTTACATCTTACACACACAAGATTACAAGATTTTGATATATACACCCCAGTTCAGTGAGGATTTGATAATCTGTTTGGGGTCTAGGCAAACATTCACAATGGGGCTCTCCAAACAGCGTTAGGCACCATTACACAATCGATTTACAGATATTTACACAATTTATTTACAGACATTCATTTATTGTTTTAAACAATACTTTAAAGACTGCACCTTTAGAGCTGATGTAAGTGATTCAAGTTTGTGCCTGTTCACATCGAGCAGACATACCAAGATGTAGCATGAGTCGAACTTCACTCCGTTTAAGTACGCAGCTCTGATGTGTTTCTGTATGGCATTGAAAAGCAATGAGATTGATTTTTTTTTAACAAAGTATCAGATGCAGATATGTCCCAGAAAATAAATAACTCATTTAAATTTGTAAAAGTTTTGGCTGCAACCTGCAAAACTCTTTCTCACCTATCATGAAACATATCAGGCGACATTCTTTTGTCTCCTAACACACCAGCCAGCCAGCTTGCACGATGCAAGACATCAGATCTAGTTTTGTATGGATGCATACAGATAGTGATGGCCCGCTTGAAGCTGACGCTCCGGAGCGTGTGTCGAAAAAAACAACACACTGGTTCAGAAGCACTGTGTCGAGGCTTGCTTCGTTTGGCAAAAGTCACGTGACCAGTGACGTCCGAAGCTTCATTA